TTTTTTTAATTAGATTCAACAAACGAAATTCAGCATCATAATCAATTTAAAACTAATATAAACGAATCAAATAAACAAACAAATACATATGAAGATAAATTAAATAATTCAAAAACTCTTCAATCGCCCCCCCCCCTATTCACGCTTATCCTGCAAAAGAAATGAAATTCAACTTACGCCTTGTTTTATTCGAGGTTGAATCTCTTCATCTAAAATTTTATTTTTAAGAAGAAAATGAATTTATTCCGATAAGAAAATATTTACCAGTATCTTCATCATTAATTTCTTCTCCATCACCTGATTCATATTCAAAACGATATAATTCTGAATCATCATCATTATTATTATTATCTTCTTGATTGTTAGATGTATAAGGTGATTGAAGAGTTTTTGAATTATTTAATTTATCTTCATATGTATTTGTTTGTTTATTTGATTCGTTTATATTAGTTTTAAATTGATTATGATGCTGAATTTCGTTTGTTGAATCTAATTAAAAAAAAAGACAAAATTTTCAAAGCTGAATAAAAAAACAATTCTTGGTTTTTTTAAACCTTTTTTCGATTGTATTGGTGATGTTGTCATACTTTGATGTAATGATGCTATTTGATCTTTAATAGTATGTAAACGTTGACGAGATTCAATTAAACGTTCAATTTCACGATGTTGTGCAGCCATTTTAGCATCAGCATAACTATTTCGTGTTGCAATTGATTTTTGTTGTTCAGTTGATTTAGGTGAAAGAATACTGGATAAAAGTGAAGTTTTAGCATTTGTATTTGTTGCTTGTGTTTTTTTAGATAATGGTGGAGTATATTGAAATTGATTAGTATTGAATTCATAATTGTTATTATTATTATTATTATTATTATTTGGTTTTGTGGCAGACGATTGTATGGGAGTTGAACAAGTTGACGAAGAACATTGATCAGGTTCTATTTTTTTAACCATTTGTTGAAGACGACTCAATGCAGATTTAGCTTCTTCCAATTCTCTAAAATATGTAAACACTTATGTTGATGGATACTATCAATAAGAAGAAAAGGTTTCGAACTGACCTATTCTGCTATATATGAGATCGATCAGGGACGATCAATAGGAATTATTAATGGGCGGGGGGATTGAAGAAGTCACCACAGAAAAAAACCGGTTGTTTTCAGCTTGTGAAAACTGTTCGTTTCATAATGCTCTCTAGATATTTAAATGTTTTTGGAGGAGAATTGATCCCGACAATATCCTCTCTGAGAGTGTCTCTCTCTCTCCCTCATATGATTATATACTACTCTTCCTTGTTCATAATTTATTTAATAACATCAGTGAACTTTCATTTGTCTTCAATTTATTTTATCATCATTGATTCATCAATAATAAAGTTTATAAGTAAACTCCAGTTTTCTTTTATTCTCTTTTTTTGCACCGGAAATAGATCTTTGTGAGACTATATAAGCAAAGTTTATAAGGACTTGGGCTCATGGACTATTCATGAAGAGTTATGACTGTTTTACTGATTATTTTGTTTTTTAGTGAGAGAAAGTCATTTCAGAAAAATATTATAATGTAGAATTTTATTCAGAAGTGTTGCCTATAGATGGAGTTAATAACTATTACAAAGATCCGAAACTTTGAAAAAAAAAAACGAACGTGTCATTCTCGAGATACTCAAATTTCAAGTGTATTTGATGATTGTATCGTTTTCTGGTAAGCTGTTGTTTTTTGGATATTGAATATCTCAAGAAAGGCAGGTAGGTTTTTTTTTTGAAACTATCAAAACTTTTTAATAATGATTCGCTCTATCTCTCACTAAAAATTTCAAGTAAAACAACCATAATTTTTCACCAATAGGTTTTATTTAAATCTACGCCTATTAGAACTTTATAGATTTCTAATCGTCTTATTCGACTTATATGTCGAATAAATGATATGATTTAAATTAAATTAAAAAAGAATCCCTATTTGTGTTTGTTTGATTCAACAACTTACAATCGTTTAGCAGCTAATTCACTAGATAATTTATCAAGTTGTTTAGGAGTATTCTTATTCTTATTATTTGGTGTAGACGATATTGATTTTTGTTTTTCTTGCAAAATAAGTGTTTTTAAACGTTGTGCATCATCAGGTTGAATAGGAGTTTCTTCATAAACTGTTGTTTCTTCGTCTTGGTCATTCGTTAAATCTAATTGATAATATGTTACAATTTGTTCTAATTCATTTAGTTGTTCACGAACATGTTCTAAATTTTTTACACGATTATCACTTTGTGTTGGCTGTTGTATTGATGAACTAAAAATATTTAATATTTACATTACTGATCAAAAGTATCCTGTTCTATCCTTATATCTTTGTTACTCGAAGAGCTATAGTTCTAAAAACTTGTATGTATATAATTCTCGATAAATGTAGATCAATAGACATATCCTCACTGCAATTGATTAATATAGGATACAGTCTGTCTCCATCGTGGATTTAATAGCTGACGAAGGAAAAAACTTTGTGTCCTTTCGTCTCTCAGTAATGACCTTCGAAATAAAGATAGACAGCATGCATTATTACTCTATACGTCGCATGGAATCACGACGTTATTTCGCTTCTGACCCATACTCCAGAGGTGTAGAATCTGTAGTGATTTTAAAAAATTTCCCCGCACGACAATATCTTCCCCCCAGAACTCTCCTAGGAATCGAAAAATTTTCCCACACGACCGTACGCGCACGCGGGTAGATTCTGCATCTCTGCCATACTCATCGAGAATAGTATACATAGAAGTTTTTTGCAGCTACAGCTCTTGTATTAGTTGAGATACAAGAGAAAAGGGACTACGTTCGGTCAATAGTGTAATTGAAAAATGAAGCAAAGATAAAATGTACTTTTTAATTTCTTGTACTTCAACTTGATGTTTTTGTTCGTAGAGATTTCGAAGTAGTTTTAATCTAAATTGATGAAAACATAAATTCATTTACTTAGATTTTTTTTATCATCTTTACCGATCACGTAAATTATTTATATCGGATAAAAGATCATTTTCTGATAAATTTTCTTTTTGATCAGTAGTTTTCTTTTTAACTACTTGCTGTTGTTGTTGTTGTTCGAGTAAACGTTGTTCTGAACGTTTTTTTAATGCAAGTAATGCACGTTTTTGACCTTGTAAAGCTCGGAGCTTAATAAAAAAAAAAAAAAAGAACGAAGAAATTATTAGAACATGTGTCTAATTCTTTAACAAATAGAAGATGGCTCTTTTTTACTTGTTCTTTTTGTAGCATTAAATTTCTTTGAATTTCTTTTTCACTTTCAACATCACTTACTTCATCTCCAGACTAATTATAAAAAAAAAATTAATTTAATAATTCTTAAGTTTTTTCGTACTGTTAATTGTTGATCTTTCCAATTAATTGTATCACTTTTAAGACTACCAACAAGTGAATCATAATTTGAATTATCATTACGATTATTTTGTTCATTATCGGATGAATTTATTGTTGGTGGAACTGTTGGAGTTGGTGGTATAATTGATTGTGGTGTAAAACCTATTTTACTTTCAATACGTGGACGTAATGGAGATCGAATATTACGACGAGATGATAGATCATCCTGATTAATTAAATAAGAAATTCGAAGAGAAATTTTCTTTAATTTATTTTTTAAGACATACTTCCTCATCTTCATCTTCATCGTTATCATCTACTTCTTCGTCGACATCATCATTTTCATCATTTGACTGATTATTAGTATTTGTTGGTATTGAACGATGAGCTGTGGAAATTTTATCGATTAATGCTGCCTTTTCTTTATTGGTTAACTAAATGCAAAGAAATTTTTGTTTTTGATTTCAATTACTGTAGTTTTTGAAAATGAAGATTTTCTTGAATTAGAGTCAATACCTTTCATAGCTCAAGATCATGATAAAAAATTCATCACTTCATACATATATATATCTCACTCATATTTATTTCATTAATAAACCCAAAAGTGGATGATCACTTTTATTAAAAATTATATTGAAAGAATCGATATCATCAAGTTTATAAATACAATACACTATCTGTTCGTTTAGAGTACTTTAAATCATAGAATATACAGAAGAAAAAAAAACTTTTTCTGCTGAGTAAAAGTTCAAATCTTCTATTATATCCAAGTGTATAAATATATATGGGTACAATCATTCGTTAGTGATGTAACTTCACAAAATGGAAACACATGTATCTTGAGAGAATGAACTTTTTATATGTTAAATATATTGCTTTATGTATTTTAATTTTAAAAAAACTCTGCATTGAGGCAACACTTTTCAAAATAAATAATACATTTTGTAGACAACTCTTACGGCTAAAAAATCACTCTGCAAAAAATCGATTTGCTTTTCGTTAGCGACGTGACAGAGTACGAATACAAAAACGAAAAAAACACTCGTACAACCAAACAATAAATTCAAAACAGAATCTCTAGGAAGCCAGTTTTTCCTCAAATGGCTAGAGAGATATTTGTTAATTAGTTTTTAATTAATAGTCAGCTGAAAGAGGAAACAATTTTACATATGTCTATTCTAATAGGGCCCAAATAATATTTATCGATTGTTTTGCGTAATAAGAAATATTTGCATTAACAACAAAGATTTTCTTAAGAAAAAATAAATTTATAAACTTACTGTAATTAAATTAAGTAAATTAACATAACCAGCTTGTTGTTCTTCGAGATTTTCAATAATAATATGAAGTTTTTCACATTGTTCTTGACTTCCCGGCTAAAATCAATCATAGAGAACAACTTTTTAGAGAAATCGAAAAAATGTACTTACAACTAAATGTTTAAATTGTTCCATTGATTGAAGCATTGTTTTTGCTTGTTCAATTGAATTTTGAATTTGTTCTATACGTGCAACAATTTTTGATGTTGAAATCTAATTCGAGAAAAAAAAAGAAATTAGAATAAAATTGTTTTTTTTTTCTATTTTTACTTCTGATGATTGATCTTGATCAAATGTTTCATCTAGTTCAGGTTTATTTTTATCTTGAATTTTTTTGTGTGATAAATCATCACCTGATAATTCACTATCACTTTCATCATCATTCATTTGAATATTATCATTTTGATAAACTGGTTCAAAAAATGACATCTTGAAAAACAAAAAACAAACGAAACGTTCGTTTTTTTTTTTGGTTAAAACAAAGGTAAAAAAATTTGTATTTACTTGATTGACTTTTTCTTTATCATTTGCTCTAGGTAAATTACGTGTTTTTCGTTTTGGAGGCATTTTTTATTAAAAGATATCTACAAAAAGAAAATATTACTATTTTTATTCCTAAGCTCTTTTGTTTTCTGATTGTCTGATTAATCAGATTGTGTAAAATTTATTTTCATAAATATATATATATATATGGAAGTGTTGCTTTCATCAATTGATTATTATGTTTATAGATATCGAAAACATATTTCGTTATTAATACTGTTTTAGAATAATATGTACTTGCGAAAAATGATTACTACAGAAAAAAAGAGTATGCTATAAATATAAAGGACATGTTTTTTTTCCTTGTATAAAAATTGAAAAGAATTTTTTTCATCTATACAAACTTTTATTGTGTATTATTGAGAAAAAGGTTTAAATGTGCTGATTACATCCATCGGTCAATATTTTTCAAGTAACGTTTTCAAGGTAACGACCTCGAAATTGTTTGCCATGCAAATATTATATTTAATTATTTTAGGGAAAAGGATTTTTAATTTGTTTTATCATCTTATTTTTATATTATTAATAAAATTAATTTATATTATTTTATTAAATAAATAAGATAGATACATTGTATAAAAGTGACATCTATGAAAGATATCAATAATTTAGAAATATTTCTTCCCGAAATTTTTCAAAAATTACTCTAGTCAAACTTTATTTTCATAAACATGAGATTCTTGAATATCTCTTGAGCAAAAAAGTTATGCAATATGGACATTATATTTTGAGACCTTTGGCAACTTCAAGCATCTGAATTCGCGTTCAAGCACATGCAAGGATGATCACAAATGAAATACTATGTGAAAAGCATTACGAGCTGCACGATGGCAAGGAACATTCTTCTATGCTAAACAGAAAACCTTTTATTATTTTATTCCTGTCGATCGTTTTATATATACTTATTTGTATGGTTTCCATGAGTTCAGCTAATGACGTACTTTGAATGTACACATAAGTCATGCAACCTAAAAAACGTTCGACTAAGATGCCATGCCATAGAAGATTGTCGTATTAATAAAGTTTTAAATATTTTTTAAGAAATAGATTAATATAATACCTACCAGAACTGTTAACAAAAGATTTACTAAACTTCTTAACATATGTTTCATTGAATGAAATAATGGAGTACACATAGAATATAACTATTACTCAAATATATAGTCAAGAGCTCATGTATAAATTGAAAGAACGAAGAAAAAAAGAACACAGAAGTAAAAATTACTTGTGCTTGACAGTAATCGAATCGATAAAAATGACCCGAATGAGTTCTAAGTAGAACAATTTTCGTTCTGTTCGTTACACACATATAAGCTTCACTACCCGAAATTCTCGAATAGTATAATGATTGTCGGTGAAGTATAAATAGTTTTATAGCTAATGGGTTTCTTTTTTATTCCATTTTCTGTGCATTGATAAGAATTTTTCAAGTTGGGTAGCAATTTATATTCTATTGACATACATATCGTCTGATCATTTTCAAGGTATTATAAATAAGATGTTAATTCATTGTATTGAAATGCATTTTCATTCGCTAGATCAAAGAAGGTAGCATAAGAATATTGTATACAAACGCATGGCAATGATGAAAAAGAAAGATCTCGATTGTTCAATAATCAAACTCTCTTGCAATACAGATTATAAATGCTGTTTTAATACAATTTCGATCGATTTTCACAATGATTGTATATTGTTAAACAATATACAACCATATGTGTTTTACCAATGATGATTAGTCTTTAAAAGTCATTTTCTTGAAGTATTAAACGTAATTTACTACAATTCAATGCGAGATTGTATTTGTCAGCTAGCAGATTTTACATTGATTGATGTATTACAAAGACATTGGACTGTATTAACTCTTGCAGAATCTTCTACGGTATCGTCAACGATGTTTCGTTTTCTCTTTATTTGTTTTAGTAGATTGATTTTCATGGCGGAGAACCAAAAATTATCAGTTTTAATCTTTTGTATTATATTCGTTCATAGAGTAAATTGTATTTATACGACAAGAGTGAATATTTCAATTATTTACTTGATCACACCTAAATTTTATTTTCCTGATAATAATTATTTTAATATTTGAAAAAAAAGTAAATGCCAACAGAAAAGATTTAGTAATTCGATATATTATTGTTTTTTTATTATACTCATAAATCTTCCTTTTATTCTCGAAGCTTAAAATAAACTACATGGTGCAGAACAGACACAAAAAATAGTACTTTTTTTTTCATTCTAATTATGATTGCTTATAGATATTTTCTCAAACATAAATTAATCATTCTATTTAGTCATTAAAAGCAAATACATTGAAAAATTATCGAACTGTTTCAATGCTAAATTCAAATTACTTTATATCATTCAGACAACAAATATTGTAACAAAAATACTTATCTAAAAACAAATATAAGTGTGCATTTTAAAAAAAAATTCATACAAGCTTATTTGATCAACGCAAAAGATCATTTACTGTAAATCAAGTTGGAAATTCCATCAGTCTTTTTTTAAATATATTTATGTAGAAAAGATTTTTTTATTTTTAACATGAATACAAAACGAGTCAGTAACAATCAATAATTTTTTTTCTTTTTTTCTTTTTTGTTTATCGCGTCAAGAGAGGTGCAGTGTGTATACATAGCCATGCTTACATAATGTGCACTTTGATGCATACTTAATTTTGAAGAGAGCAGAAAAAAATATTATTGTGCGAGCTTCAAAAAAAAAAAAATAATTTAGAGGAGGAGTAAGTAATTATGATGATATACTATTATTTATTGAGTTTGACATACGTTTGCCGGCTGACTGAATATTAAATTTTGTGACGCATAAGAACTAATGATTATTAATGCTGTTAATTTAGGTGAAATGTTTCACTTGTATATAGTCAGTTGCTTCAAAAATTATTCAACTATAATATATATTTTCAGTTTTTTTTCCTACTGTCATAAACGCTAAGAAGAACTCAAATAGTGACTTTTGTAAAGAATTTTATTTCTAGCAAGAATTTTTGCAGGTAAAAATGACTGATAATTTTCCACGAATAAGGTTTCTGAAAAACTAAAATCCAAGTTTTTCATCTCTCGGAATGCTATTTGAATTATTCAGAATGACACAGCATATAATTTTCTACATAATGAAACGTCTTTCAGCTATCTACGACGTTTATTGACGAAGATATGTCAACCTTACGAAAAATGAAAAAATGACTTTTCTATACGAACTACGTAGTAAAAAAAAAACAACTTTTGTGCCGTTCCTAAAATTGATATATATATATATATATATATCGATCAGAAAACGTCGTAGAGAGCTGGAAGACGTTTCGTTTTATAGAGAATTATTTGCTCTATCATTTCATATAATTTAAATTGAATTCTAGAGGATAAAAGCTTTGGTTCGGCTTTTTTCAGAGACCCTATTCTTGGAACACTAGCAATCATTTTCATGGTCAAAAATTCTTACTATCATCGTTAAATTCTGATTTAAAATTTGTTTATTTTAGATTCCTGGCTAAGAAATTTAAAAATGTCTTCTATAAGTTCAGTAGATCTTTTATTTTCATCAACTGAATATCGTTCAAATTTTAATAAAATAGCAAAAATACTTCTTATTAGTGAAACAGGTGCTGGAAAATCAACATTTATTAATTATTTATGTAATTATTTTCATAAGGGTGATATAAATAATCCTAAAATAGCTATACCAAGCAAATATCATCCTGTACCTACGGAAGAATTTTCTCATTATGAATTTAATATTTATGATAATAATCAATCAAAAACTAATCATTGCATACAATATATGTTTACTGATGTAACAACAAATAAACAATATTTATTTTTGGATACGCCTGGTTTTTCTGATACTCATAATATTGAACAAAATCAAATGAATATGAATAAAATAATTGGTGCGATAACACAATTAGATAATCTAACTTCAATTATACTTGTTGTTAATGGTTCATTGAGTCGATTAACAATGAATTTTCGTTATGCTATTAATTGTTTAAATAGTAGTATACCTGATATTATTTTAGAAAATGTTATTGTTATATTAACTAATGCTAAAAAATATGAATCACCATTTGATTTAAAACTATTAAATTTACATGGTAAAGTTTATCCATTTTATATGCAAAATGGTGCATTTGTATCTGATCCTAAAAGATGGACAAAATCTATTCGTAATGAACTTCATTATGATTGGAATAATTCAATGAATCAAATTAAATTAATACTTGAAACAATTGATTCATTTAAACAAATATCTATTGATATATTTTTACGAATGAAACAAATTCGTAATGATATTAAATCAATTATTCATCAAATACGTCTTGAAATGATTCAAATACAAAAAATTCAAGATGCTATTGCTCAATTAGATCTTACATTTAAACAAACTAATCGAGATGTAGCGACATATCAAGATCATACTCGACATCATATTGTCGAAAAAATTCAACAAATCGATGCACCACATCATAGTACTTTATGTGTAAATTGTAATCAAGTTTGTCATAATAATTGTCGTTTAAATGAAACAAATATTGTTGATGCACAAATATTATCTCAATGTTTAGTTATGAAAAATGGTAAATGTCAACAATGTCAAAATCATTGTTCATATACAAATCATTATCATGCTAAAAAAACTATTCAAATAAGTCATGAAACTTTACATGATGTATTAAGTGATTTAAAAGAAAAATATGATCAAACATATCAAAATTCTAATAATTGTCAAGAAAAAATAATAACAGTATCTGAAACAAAAGAATTACTCGAACAAGCTTTACAACAAAAATTGAAAGAAATTAAAAACAAATCTATACAATTAAATGAAATATGTTCATCATTTAATTTAGCAAATGAATTTAAAGATTTAATAAGATTACTAAAAACCGAATCGAATTCATTACGAAATTCTGAAACAAAATTAAAAGCTGAAAAATTCATTAGAAAATTAAATAAATTTATACATTTAATTGAAGAAAAACAAGAAAATAATCGAATAAAACGATCATCTATGCAAATAATTTGCAAAGATGAATCAATAGAAAAAAAATCAACAACTGATATAAATCGTTTAACAATATCTGATTTAATTGAATTATATCATAATACAATTGATCATGATCTTATGAAATCAATTTTAAATGAACTTCATCAACGTTCTCTAGGAAAATCTACAGGTCCATTATTAACATCAAATGATATCATACTAATTAATAAATATTTAGAAAAATATACACATAAAAATATTCTACAATTAAGTTATGTATATCATAAATTACAACAACAAATTCAACATATTATTCAATCAGATATTTTAAATATTTCTAATGTAAATTCTGAACTTTTAGTTGAAAATTTTATTGTACAAACATTACTTGGTGATAAAGAAAAACAAGAAAATAATGTTCATCAAGAGAAAGTTTCTCGAACAATGCCATTAAATATATCTCAATCAATGGTTGATTCATTTCCAGGACAAATTTCAACAATTAAATCACAACAAATTCATCCACTTCCATATCCAAGTACAGAACTAATACCATCACAGACAAAATCATTAAATAATAATTCAAATTTAATTGGATTTTCTCATTTAAATATTGCCCCATATCCACCAAATATTGATCCATCATTGTTGCCACCTTTACCATCGGATTATTCTCCATTAATTCAACACAATCAACCTCAATCAGATGTATTTTCTCGTCATGAATATCATCGATATAATTCAACAGATGCAAACATTACAACATCACCAGTCGATTATAAAGATTTCATGCCGATGCCAATGCAAACAAATAATCATCAACGATTAATTAATCTTCGTAATTCTAATATTATATTTCCATTAAATAACACTATAGAAAGTCAACATAAGGCATCACCAAATGAAAATTCATCGATACCTGATGTAATACCAATGAATAATAATTTTTATGGCTCATCAGAACTTTTATTAAACTATGCAAGAAATGATAATCCTGTTAATGTAGATAATGAAGATTTATCTGCATTAGATAATGCACGTCTTTTATTAATGTATACTAATGCAAATCTTAAACAAGTTGAATCTCAAAAAAATGCTATTCTTCAAGAACTTGAACGACGATGTTATGGTGAATATCCAATGTTAATTAAAGAAAAAAGAAATTTATTTCAAGATAAAATAAAACTTTATGAAACAAGAACAATCGGAGAACTTATCATAGCACAAGCAGCTATTAGAAAAAAAATTCGAACATATATAAAAAATGATGATGTTACATTGATTAATGATATACCATCAGACTTAATTATTGAAGCACATGCAGTAAATCAATTAATCTTATCAAAAGAATAAATCTAGAGATATTTTCATCTGTACATATATATATATCTGTGCTCATGTTTGAAACGTTTTATTTTTATTTTTTAAATAAATATCAGCTCGATGAAATATACGAAATCCCTATGCTATATAGTGTCCACAAATCCATATTTTGAGACTAGATAATAAAAACTAAAAAGAGTAGTTTTTTTTACACATTTTGACGGTATTTTTAGATTTTCTCAGTCTCTATTCATCATTCTGAGTCGAATGATATCTCAACAAATGCGCAAAAGAGTTCTCTACAAAATGAACTATCTCGGTTTCAGAGAGATCAATATCTTGAGATGATACAAATGTTGTTGAATCTTCAATATGAGTTTTCATTCGTCTTTAGAATGTTCCACAAAACGGCGTTTTAGCCTGTATCTTTCATCCAAGATAATAAAAAATGATAAGCTAGTCTCTAGCTAGCTAAATCCCCAGCTCGCATGTTACTTGAAACCTGTGACCGAAAATTGTGATCGTTTTGCACCGCATTTATGTGATCCTTTATGAGTTCTTCTTTTCTTTTACTTGACGTACACATCGAAACAGAGAGTCAGAGAATAGGCAGATTGACGACCTTGTACTATCTTATTTACACATCGAAGAAAGTAAAAGCTTTTCTAACACCATGCATTTGTAGAGAATGCTTTTTCGTAGGAAACTCTTATATTTGAAATTAAAATTGATTGTATATCTTCAGTTCTTTACCTTTGTTACGCTACGAATAGTAAGAGTAAAAACTTTATTGCAGCTCCAGCAGCAGAGATCTGTACATAGGGTGTGGGTGTTAGTGTCTGTAGATTTGAGTGAAATAAATATTCACACTTACACCCGTTAAGTTTAGCCTTAGTGAAGCTCGGAATTCGGTCGACGAATGGATGACGTCTTTCAGAAGAGCTACCGCTATTGGCTTTATCAATCACTAATGCAAGATCGAAGATATCTTTAGGAAGTTCGATCAATTTACTAAAGAAAACGAGAAGCCATCAGTGGATGAAGAAGAAGTTGATTCGGAGGCAAAACTAATTGGTGATTGACAGTATGCGTTGCTTCACTTTTTTCTTCTCTTATTTGTCATTAAAAAAATGGAACCTAAAATTCGGGGCTTGCAGTCATGAGAACTTACGAGAGATGGTAGACATATTCCAAGTTGACAACGAAACCACATATAAAAGCGATGTCGCGGAAGGGTGTTAGTATTAGCGTAGGTGTGACGATGGCCTAGATGCTAACAGCAACACCCATACCTTCAAGATTGAGTTATGCAGAATATTCTAGGAATAGAAAAGGAATAACATGATTTCATCAGACTGTTGAAATAGCAAGCCAGGCGAGTAACAAGCATGCGTGTGGACGAAGATTGAGAGAGAACAGAATAAAAGAAATTAATTTTACCACTGTGTAAGTCACCTAATTTGAATATTTTTTTTTCTGTTTCTGATTCATTTTCATATGTGTTGCGCATGTTACTAAAATTGTAAGGTAAAAGTGAACTTTTTTTCTATAAAAGTACTCTTTTTTTTGGTTTAAGACTGATTATGAGTATAAAAGAAGCAAGAAATATCTACGAGAATAATAATACACAACAGGATACGGAAGAATATTCACCATTTCATCATGCAATTCTTCACAGCTCTGTCCAGGACATAAAGAAAATGATTGACAAGGGTGCAAATTTGGCGGAAAAGACAAAAAATGGAGATAATATTCTTGATCTTGTTGAAAAACGTTCTACACCAAACGCAATAATTAAGCAAATACTCATGTGTGAGTATGAAAAAATGATGCATTTAAGAGAATTACTGAAGATTGATCGAAGTCTCATTATTGAAATGGCTGAAATATTCGATCGGATCAAACAAATTTTTCAAACCAATAGTTTTCTGAATAGAAAAATATTACATTTAACACACGACGAGCACGATTACCATGATTTATTACAAGTAGCTATGATAGATAAAGATGTTCGTATAGAAGAATACGAATTAATATTACATTTTCGACATATTTCCCAACTTATCGGATTACTCAATCGTCATGATGGAAGTACCAAACAAATGTATAATAGTCTGATCAATTGGCATGTTTTACAAGGAATAGAAAAAAGACTTCGTTCACATTCATTGTGGAATGAGAATCCTGGCAAATTATTTCAATCAATTTCACCGGATTGTCTCCGTCTAGAAGAATTTTTTTCACAACTGACTCAACTACTAAATCGTTTTAATGTGGAAACAGATGATCTTAAACAATTAACTTTTGGAATTAGAAAATGTGAATATTCTGTACTAACTGGATACATTATACAAGTTTATGACAAAGATCTTGCAGAACGCAGTATCAGCATTATTGATATTGTTAAAACACTGACAGATTTCAAGGAAAAAATTGAAAACGTTGCCATGTTTCATTGTATACAATTATTGGGCGAAATCAGTCATTCATTTTCTACTTCAACACAGGAACAACTTAAAAAATATTATTTTTATCCACGACTAAAACAAATGCGAAATGAAATTAAAAATCATTGGGAAAATACAGTACGAGCTGTCGATTTCTTGAAAGATATTAATTCTGACGTTTACGAAAACGATTTAGAAAGGATGAAAGAGATATTAATTCATTTCTATAAACCATTACTGAATGGAATTATTAATAATAAAGTTTTGTTGACTGTAATTGATGATAAATCAAGACAAAATATTGATACAATCACGTCCTCATTCAAAAAGCTTCTTGAAAAGAAACCTGACAATATAAAAGATCTGAATTCAACAGATATAACTTATATTAATAAACAGATTGAGCTTCTTGTTATATCTATAAATCATATTCTTGACATTTTTCATGAATGCAAAAAACATTACTCCGACGAAATTTCCATTCGTTGTCAATTGCAGAAACCACAACTACACTATTGTTATCTTTTTTACCTGACTATTATTGGTTCGACAGTGCATAATATGCGTATAAAACATGTATTTTTGGCTACTGTACCCGTTGCATTACATGAAAAACTCGATTATTTACGCTGGATTCGAAATTCGTTAATGCATTATGAAATCTATCTACATTCGAATTTCTATCGTAATACATTGTTCGACTATCTTTCAAATGATTTATTAATTGAGGAATATTCGATTGATTTACATGGGCAGGTTATGGTACAATTTGTAGTTTTTTTTAAACAATTAGAAAAAGAATTAATTAACTATAGAGATAGCGTATTGAAACTGTCTCTTGACAATTACTATACGAATTATTCTAACGGTGATAAAAAATTCTATAAAGGGGATATCGAACGAAAGCAAGAAAAAATAAATGCTTTTCAAGGTAAATTGCAAAATAAATATCGACAACCTTGCCGTCCCAGCTTGAAACTAGGATTAAATGATGTACTCGATTACAAAGATGACATTGAAGAAGTTTGTCAAAAGTTTAATTTTGAATTCATTGGTATCTTTGGACCTTTAGCAAAATATGGTACAACACAATTTAACAAAAATTCTGGATTTTTAGTACAAACACAAGTAGATAACTTTGATGTTTACCATGATAATCTTCTACACATGAAAAAATATATTGCGGACACTGATTGTTTATCAGGTTTGGGTGTGGTTGAAATTCGTCAGATGCGAGAATATCTGAATTATAAGAGAAGGGAAAATACAACCGTTGATACTATTGTTAACAATATTAAGAGATACTCACTCAAACGTCTCATCAATGGTCAGGAACTGTATAAAGAGATTGACAGTTGCATTGAATATACAATCGATGATAATTCATCAAAACATATCAACGAATTATTCAAAAAAGATGTTTGTTACGAATACTGTGATAAATATAACGACTACCCAATGCTCCATATACTCTGCAATGCTGTCATTAATAGAAAACAATATCGATCAAAAAAGCGAGCTTATTTTCGATCAATTATTAATCGTATGTTAAGCAATGGAGCTCAAATTAATGTACAAACACGTTTTGATTGTACCATACTCCATAGTATTGCGCGTGAGCCGGGTACAGGAAAAATATCATTACACAGTTTAATGTCACCAGAGTATCATGAACAACTTGATACAAACATTTTTGGTCTATGGCATGATGCTATTCCTTTAAGTGTGGCTCTCATTGAAAACATTCGTCCTCTCAAATATGAATTAGGGCGTCTTACAAATCTTTGTCGACATGCAGATGAATTAATTATTGCAGCTATTCAAGGATGCGATTTATCATTCCTTATGTATTTGTTTCATGTATTACGCGATGATCAAAATCAATATTTGACATTGTCTGGAAGATATCGGAATGATGGACGCACTCTATTGTTTACATTATTGGAACAAGAACAAAAAACAAAAAATGAATTTTTGGATAAAAACATAACTTTTCTCTTCGTTGAAAATGGGTATACTTATCTCGATATGATTAATTTTCTCATTGAAAATAATATAGAATTACGTTGCAAAAATGGCTCATATAGAGATTATGAGGATTTACTAATGTATTTACTACTAAATAGATTTCATGAATCCGCACTTATTCTACTTCGTCGTGAGAGACACGTTGATTTTTTTCATGGAAACGATTGTCCTATTCATGTAGCATTAGACAATCTCATCAAGTGTAGAACAGAATGCGAACGTCGAATTTGTTTACAGTTAACTAAGCAAATAATTCAAAATTCCGATGACTTAAATTTTGAACTACACGCGGGACAGGATATACCACTTTATATTGCTGCTAAATATGGTGAATTAGAAATTGTTAAAATTCTTCTTCAACAAACACAAAAAGTCAATATGAATTACAAACCTCATCGATATTCGCATAATATGTGTTGTAAAGCTTATGAAAATGAATACGAAATCGTTATTTTACTACTAGAGCACGGACTACCAATAAAATTATCAAAAAATTTAGGCAGCATTAAAAATCAGAATCTACGAACTCGTCTTGAAACATGTGAACGATTATGGCTGAATTACTGTCATGGAACATCTAAAATTGGTAAAGATGATCAATTATTTAGAATTATGCATGAAGATTCCATTCTACGACGATTAATCGTAAATCGTCGAAATGAACGTGGCGAAAACATACTTTATTACGCCATAACGCGAAACGATGAGACATTCGTTAGGCTTATTCTTCAACAGGAACGGCCGAAAATGAATTTGATACAAAATCATACTATCAATTCGAAGTGGCCTTGTGATAATACTTTCTATAAATCTTATATACATCATCTCGCACGTTCTATTAATGGTCAAACAATGGTAGTTTTTGTAGAATGTGAATATATTGATTGGCAATCTTTTAACTTTATCGATATGGAAAATATGACGACGACAGCCATTAAAGAAAATGATCAAATGCTGTTTCACTGTATTGAAAAATATGGTTATCCAATAATATCTTTTCAATACAGAAAATTGCTAATTGTGAGAATGTATGTTGATGCATTTAGAAATCTTGAAAGTCCTTCACTTATCAATAATCTTTCTGCAATAACAAAATTACCTAATCGACGTGTATTGTTTCAAAACAAAAGCAATTCTAATTATAGAACTCTGTTAGCTACTGCAATTCTTTCAAACAAATTAACTATAGTCAGATACTTAATTGAAGATCTGAATGATGATATACATGCTGCCAGTTATCCTTTGAACTATAATCCTGACATCAAAAGGATTTTGCCATGCTTTGACATTTTTGAAGATCATAAAATATCTGTTCTTGATGATTTTATTGTCAGTGGACATTACAATCTTGAAATATTACGATATCTCATAGATAACCAAGTTCGTATCCTTGATGCTAAAAATTTCAATCGAATAGCCCGTTTACCGAAAGATTTATCTAGCCAATTTCGTATATATATTGATAAAAATGAAGAAATTCGTCAATATATTTTTCATATGACTATGAAGCATCATCTACAAGACGTAAATTTCATAAAATTTCTCTTATCTCTTAGTTCATGGAATCCCAATCAATATGATAATTCAGGATATACTCCTTTGCATTGTTGTGCTGAAAAAGGATATAATGAAACTATCCGTCTTTTATGCGAATCAGGTCGAGTTGATGTTGAACTACCAACACAAAATTCATTCATATTCTTAACAACAGGCAATAGAACACCAGTTGGTATCGCAATAGAAGAAAAAAAATTTTCAAGCGCTCGTTTACTCGTCGAAAATTATGATGCATCACCATACGAGTATCTTCTCATTCTTTTGATCAATGCTCTACAAAAACAAGATGCAGATTATGTACAACTATTACTTCAAAAGTCTATTGTGGTTAACCTTCGCGCATCATTGTTTTTCTTACAAAACTTTGCTAGTGGCAATCCAACATTAACAACTAGTATTGAACAGTGGGAACTTGAGCAAGCAATAGAATATGCAAAAAAACATGAAAAACAATTGAATATTCCTAACTTTATTCTAAAACAATTATATGAATGTCAAAAAATGTTTCCATGTAAGAAAACAGTACAATGAAAATGATAGCAATTATTTTTGTCTGTAAGCTAGAACATTTATTCATGAACATATTGAAATAAAACTCAATAAACAATCAAATGCATTTGTAATCGATGTTTTCATAGTCTGAATCAAGTCTTTTTTTATTTAGAGTGTGAGTATGCAATGGGCGTGGGTGTGTGTCGGTGTGACTGACTATTGCTGTGACTGTGATATGTAGAGTGTGAATATGGGTCTGGGTGGGTGTGAGTTTGCGTGAGGAGATGATATTAGCCTACACATCCACACACCCCACACCCATTCCCTCACACACCACATCCACACCCTCTTGTGGACATTACGACAAACTTCATCTAGTTTTAATTGAAGAATAGGATGGTCGACAACAAACGAAAGAGAAGAAGTTCAACAACTTCATTGATTCTATTTTTATTCTTTCCAACTTTCGTTTGTTTTTCATGTGTACAATAACTCAACTGTCATCACGTTTGATACCGTGCTTCATACATATTATTCTTCGATTCTCTCGATCTGATTTTTTTTCTCTTTCGGACAAGAGCGAAAAAAAACAAAGACATTGCTAATTCGATTTTTTTTCATTATTATTATAATGGACATTCTGATAATGTGAATAAAACAGCAGGAAAAAGATTTTACTTCGATTGAAGCAGTAATCAAACAACGGTTCCTGCTTGCTCCATATATTGCTGTTAGTTAACAGATGATTCAAGTTAAAAAGGCTGCTCACGTCGTACTTCATCATCAGAGACACGTATGACCTGTCATAGTTGCTGAAAAACGTTTTTCACTAATTTTTTTCTCCTGTTGATTTTGAGTGTAGCTGAGGTTTGACACTGTGAATGTATCTCCATTCTTATACTACTTGAAGTAGTTCATTGTTGAATTATAAGGTGTGTGTCGAAAACTTCGAGAAAAATTTCCTTTCATTTTCCGAGCGATGAAGAGGACCAGCTGAAGTTTTATACCATCAACTGAGAAGCAGAATCTTGTTAGCAAATCTTGGAAAGGATTGAAAATAAAGTGTCAACGATTATTCAATGCATTAAAAAAATATCTAGGATAGAAGAGCAAACTTACTGTAAATTTTCTCAAAGATAAAGAGCAACAATTTCTTGACAAAATAATACCTTGATGAATAGTATTCTGAGAGACATTTTTCAACAGTGCGAGCTTTGGTAAGAGTGACAGTGGCATGTTCACAACTCCTTGGGTGTGGAAGCATTAAGATAAAACCTACCCCCATCCCCTTGCCTCAATACTCTGAACTCTAGATATATATGAGTATGGAGTTGGATATCGCTCTCGTTACTGGATATTCACTCAAAATCGTTAATTCAGCGGCATATGCGTACCGCGAATTTATTTAGTGAACGTCCTAATAGCTATGTGGTGAATCTCAATATTCGAGCTATAGATATTGTGACATCTTTCCCTAATATGTATATCTTTATTGAAAAAAAAAATTCAATTATATTTCATTACGCTGTTTTTTGACGTGAAATGAAGCAAGCTGTTGTAATAGCTTGAGTATTCGACAATAGTTCATTTTCAATTAACATCATGAATTTCGTTGACTTGTGATTCTGTAATGTTTGGAGACTTTTCAGTTATTGAATTAATTTCACAAAAGCATTGAAAAGTATCTCTGATTCAGTTCACGTTGTATAACTCAACGTCAAATTCGAATTCCGTCTTTGTATAAAATTTTCGGTCACTATATGTACAGGTAATTCTTCTCCTCGCTAACATATTCATCGTTTCTCGTACGATTCCAAAGTCTACAATACTAGTTGTCAAAAGTTATGAAGCGATGATAGTAACCAGATTTGATATGAGAAATATATAATGATTATGATTAGAGTACTCGAGCAATATCTATTAATTCATCAGACATTGAAAATATATTGAATATTTTCTAGAAAATAAGCGTTCGATTAAATCCTAACACATCTTATTTACTAAAGAAAAGAAAAGGCGAATCAATGCTGCAATCTCATGAAAATTTATTCAATTATTCGACGACTGTAATTGGATCTTATCATTAATTTCTTTTTGAACTATTTTTATTACAGTTCGATTCAAATAAATTTAAATGAAAAAGAATTAGGCAAACACAGAGAATAGTGTCTAATCACTTCAGATCTAATAAAGAAACCAAGACTCTGAAACTTTTCATCATCTCACAATAAAATAAATGATGTCTCTCATGCATAAACACATTTCAAAAATCCCAATGGTGCATACTTAAGGGAGATTTTACTTTATGTGTAGAATTAATAGGTGATCATTAGAGAAAGTAATAGTAAAATATCATAGCTAATAGTACATGCTTAATCATCGGAACATGATTATGATAAGTGATAAATCTATGAGTAATCTCAATTATGAAGTTTTACTTGTCGTAAAAGCAACAAGATTAATAAGTGATAACTGTAGCACGTTCGTTTAATGCTTAATTCTTGCTTCTATAATTTTATGCAAATATCATCATTGGACATTGTTTCTTGCTGTTCGATTAACACTTATTCAAAAAAAGAAATAAGAAGATTATTTTTTTTTTCTTTTCGCTAACTGTTTAATGTTAAATCATCAATTAACAATTAAGAACAAAAAGAAATAAATTTCTAATGTCTTATTAAATAATGATAATAATGTATATATATGAGTTAGTCCACGTAAGCCACGACCGATCCGTAGAGAAGCTGTTCCATCGATGTTGTCAGATCTGGCTCATTTTTTGATATGTTGTAGATACAAGAGTTCTAAGAATATCTGTGAAAGATTTTTGAAAAAATATTGGACCGTTCATTTTTTATGAAGGTTTTACGAAAAGTCCCAAAAATGCTACTTTCTCCAAGGGGGGTCTAAATGTAACCATATCTCAATAATACAGTTATGGATTAGGGCCAAATTTTGTGTGCAAGTACAACTAAGTGAGTTCTATCTGTGATAAAATTTTTGTCCCAAAATATATTTTGGGACAAAAATTTTATCACAGATAGAACTCACTTAGTTGTACTTGCACACAAAANGCTTCTATAATTTTATGCAAATATCATCATTGGACATTGTTTCTTGCTGTTCGATTAACACTTATTCAAAAAAAGAAATAAGAAGATTATTTTTTTTTTCTTTTCGCTAACTGTTTAATGTTAAATCATCAATTAACAATTAAGAACAAAAAGAAATAAATTTCTAATGTCTTATTAAATAATGATAATAATGTATATATATATATATATATTGTTTTGATCATAATCGTACAGATTCTCTTTGTCGTGTGTCATTAAAATGTTGTTCTTGTATACTTTGATCATTAATCATTTTTCGTACATTTTGTAAAACTTGTTTACTTTTAGCTGATGGTTTTATGTCATTTCGTTTATTTTGTTGTGATGGTGAACTATTAGTTTTATTATCTTTAATTTTTAGTAAAGATGTATTTGTTCGTAATGATGTTGACGTTTGTCGTGGATGTTCTTTATCCAATGAAAAACTTTCTACACATGATTTATGTTTGGTTTCATGATTTTTATTTATTAAATTTGGCATAGGCATTGATTGTCGACGTCGATTTGAATTAATTAAAGCTTTACTTTTTTCACTACTATGTGTATCTGGATATGTTGATGTTGACCATTCAGATGACATTGATGATGATATACTACTTGTTGTATCATCATGATTATCTTCAGTTATATTAATATTACTGGATGGTGTTGGTGATGATTCTTTAATTTTTTTTGTTTTATTAAATAGTTTTTCTAAATGTGTACGTGAATGAGGTGAATTATTTTCTTTTGATTTTTGTTTACTTGAAGATGATGGTTTTTTCTTTAATTTCATACGATTTTTTTCATTTGATTGTCGATCAGATATATGTGTTTCACAATCAAATTCTGTATCATCAGGTTTAACAATTTTTCCACTATTATTAAGTGCTGTTTTTGATTTTCTAAATACAAGTATAAAATAAAATAAAATAAAATAATTCATAAAAAATTTTATTTTACGTTTTTTTATGTTGTTGATGACGTTCATTGATTGTTTGTAATGGAAAACGTTTAAAAATTGCTCCTTTTTGTGTTACACGGATACTTTCAACGCGTCTTACAAATAATTTATTTATTTCTTCTTGATGATGTTTTGTTCCCGCTAATTCTTGTTCACATATTGGTAATGATTGACGTTTTTTTCTTGGCATACATATTATTGGTATACATCGACCGAGTAGTCGAACCATAGCACTACTTGATTGAACACTTAGTCAATAACTATTTAATGCATGTCAAAGAGAGAAAAAAAGAAGAATTTGTGTCATCTCGTTTTCTTTCTTTTTTTTTTTTTTTTTTGAACAAGAATTATGTAATCCAAATCGATGAACAAATACGCAAGCTTACGGAGAGATGGGCTCTCTTGTTAAATGAACATAGTAAAAGATACAAAAGAATGTTGACCTCTTCAATTGACATTAGACACTGAGTTTTTTTTCTCTGTCTAACAGTAACATTTAACACAATATATTTTATTTTCAATGTAAATTGATAAGTGTCACTTGTGTTATCAGATGATCTTTTCTTGTGTCTCAAAAATTTTCAAAAAGATTAGATACTTGTTCGATCATATATAATGCGACAGTTATCCTTTGTTTTTTTTTATCTCTTGTGACCTATAGTTCCTGTTATCTGAATATTCGATTCGAAGACAATAAAATCAATAAGTCAATAAACTTCTTCTTTTTTCTGGATAAATAAATATATAGTTCATCATAAGGCATATTAAATAAATAGAGATATTATTACATAGTCCTAATGAGTTCATTCTTATGTATGTAAATCAATCAATATTTGAAGATAAGTTCTTTTGTAATAGAAAACTCGATACGATATTCAATTGAGTTTATTTATATTGTAACATTACTTTCAATAACTGAATCTACAAACAGTAAGAAAAATGCTCTTCAAATGACATGTTGATCAAACAAACTGTGTGATCTTGTTACTAGTTTTTTTTGTTTCTCATCATGTGAATTTTTATGACACACAAAAAAGAAAAGTTTCTATTGTTTGTGAAATTGTCCTTGAAAGATAAAATCCTTAAAGTAAATATGACAACGCAATTTCGTTTTTTTTTCTTATATCGATGCACTATTATTTTTGTTGTCGTTTTTCTTTCTGTGACGATATGCAATCCTTATGCAAATATATTTTGTAACACATGATTTCGAGACGTGATGACAACGAACGTTTTGTGTAGGTGTTTGTATGCATATGTTATTGCACAACAACAATGTAATTGAATCGTTTGATGTTGTATATAAAAGCAAGTTGATTTTCATATTTTCTACCACGGTATTAACTAAGTCTTCACTGTATTCACGCAACAGTCATATGTTACTGGGTGCAGTTTGGTTTTTGCCGCGACGACGTAAATCAAAATAATGCTTCCTTCGTAGTTTCTCAGATTTTTTAATCTGAGACTATCCGGCTTTTGGACGTGTCATACTATTAAAGCAGCTCTGCTATCACTCTTCATCATGAGAGTGCACTCTGAGTTTGGTATGACAATGTCTGATTGCCACCAATGTGGTATGTATCTAGTTTCGTTTGATCATATGTATTAAATTAACGAACTAGATTTATTTACTCATTCGGTGGCAGTTAAGAAAAATAACGTCGATTTATAATGTCCAAAAGTAGGATAGTTAAAATTATGGATGGGTAAGCGTCACTTTTTTTTACGTCGTCGATGTGAAAACTTTTAACCCATAAGATAACAAAATTATTTTTGCATGGATACAGTATATCAGCAAAGTAATGTATTTAAGATAATAGAGAGAAAAGAAAAATATCATCTGACATAAGCAAGAAAAAAAAACAACAAAAAAATATATCATTGAATATCTGACTAATTATTTGATGATGTTGTATTTTCAGTTACTACAACATTTTTTATTTGATTTAGCTGTGGTGGAATAATAAGATGATGTGACATAGATTGAAAATAGGTACTTTCAAGTGCTGCTTTAGCTGTTATACGTCGATCTGGATCATAAACAAGCATTTGCAGTGTAAGTTGAAGAACATCAGGTGATAAATTACATAATAATTGAGCCATATTTTGAGCCTTCCATTGAGGAAAAGTTTTTTTATGATCAGGCATTGATGAAAAACCTGGCCATGTTATATCATCTGGTGTACCTAAATGTAAAAAGAAATAATAAATTCTTTATAAAAAAAAGTAACCTTGCCACTGCAGCCTCATTTTACTAATACAAAATACAGCAAGTAAAAAAGTGTCTAGCATACTGTATTGATCTTTGCAATGTTCTAAAGCTGTGTAAGTCTTGTTGTTAATATCATTCAACGCTGGTTTTTGTTGTTAAGGCACACTGACAAAGAAATATCTAACGCATGCTATTCTCAGTTGTTATGAAAATACATCCAATAAATCGTTCACATTCCCTGTTGCTACAGCGGAGGGCGCAAGACGTCGATTTAAAAGTTACATTCACCATGTTTTTTATCAAATAAAAAGAACAAAAAAACACTTACCAAGAGTTCGAAATATTCGAAAAAGTTGATCGATTTCACATTCACCAGCAAATAATGCTCGATTATGTGTTATTTCAGCAAATATCGTACCAATACTCCATAAATCAACACTCGTTGTATAAGTTTTTGCACCAAGTAAAATTTCTGGTGAACGATACCAAAGTGTAATAACCTTTAAATTATTTTATATATTAAAAGAGAAATAAAACAAACGATTATTTTAAAAAAAAATAGATATACTTCATGTGTATACATTCTCATTGGCATTTGAAAGTGTCTACCAAGTCCAAAATCAGCTAATTTAAGTGAACCAATCCAATCGATAAGAACTTAATTATCAAGAAAACTATACATATATACATTTTTTTAAAATATCTTGTCCTTATTTATTTACTATTTTGAGGTTTTAAATCACGATGTAACATAGAATTCGAATGTATATAATCAATACCTAATAACATTTGTTTAAGGTAACTTTTTGATAAATCATCTGGTAATGGTTTTCGATATAATTTCATATATTCATATAAATCCATTTCCATACATTCATAAAAAAGAAATAATTCACCAGTTGGTTGATGAACTTTAATATCATATAAACGAATTATATTTGGATGTTTTAATGAACGAAGTAGACTTATTTCACGTAAAGCTGTACTTGGAATACCTTCCTCACCAAGACAAACACATTTTATAGCAACATGATGTTTTTGTCGAGTATCAAATGCTTTACGAACAACACCATATGTACCTTTACCTAATTCGCAACCAACATCATATCGATCAAATAACGTAAATTTACCATTATTCATCATGATCTGAAAATGAATATTTTTATTTAAACTATTGGTTGTCCTTTTAAAATAGCAGGAAAAATTTTACTGAACGATAAAAAAGACAATGGTAAACGAATATTACAAACATGATACAATGTCATAAATGATACTGAATCAAAATGAAAATTAAAACATACAGTATCTTCAGTTGAATCCGCATAATTTATTGCTAATCTTGGTGTACCTAAAATATAGATAAATAAAAACGTAATTTCAACAATCTATTCTAAAGCTTTCTTAAACAATTCTGTTCGAAAATATTATACATGTTAAGAAGCTTTCAGAAAAATCATCACGTTTCACTAAACAGAAGCTCACGTCAGTTCCCTCTCACAGACTGATAGATGTTTTTTCTGTATGATTAAATATATCGTATATCTGTAACATTTTGTTCTAATACATGAACTACTTTCTTATTGCATTTCTGGAGGATCAAGTAAAAGGATAGTGAAAAAATATGTGTCCAAAAATAGATAGAATAAAACAATCTTCCGGTGATTGGCAACAACAGCTACATCGTGTTTCAAATTTTAATTCCGTAGAAAGTGCGCTAACAGCTTTTTCTTTCGTACAGACTGTTTTGTCTAACTAGGGAAATTTCTTAACTGATAAATCGCTTTTGGATCTGGATTATGGATGCTGTGAAGATACTGCATATTTTCGGTATTTTTTAAGACAATGTCACGACTTATGTCAGAAACACCGCGAAAACTCATTTTCAAATTTTGACTTGAGACTTTACATAGAGACAGACCTTAAAAATTTAGGTCTTTTGATGTGCTCTTATCTTAAAATAAGAGCATCGAATTTGTCGATGTACGCATATGAGTCTGATTTAATCTCTGCATACAAATTAATCGATTTATAGTCTTCAGGCAAAATATTATCAATCTTGAAAAAGAAAATCTATAAAAGCTATTTCGTAAATTCTTTCAATTTTATAAGTTCGATTTGTATTTTGAAAAAAAAAAGAAGAAATCAACATTTTAATCACCTCTTATTATGCGAGATCCAATAAACCATAAATAAAATTCATAAATAGGTATTCTTAAAAGAAATTGATTGATATATTGTATAAGTTTTACAGTTAATGTTGTAACTGTCCAAATCTAAATTTAACAAAAAAACAAACAAAATAATCTTTTATTTTTAAATTAAGAAGTTTTATTCTTTCTCTTTTTACTGAAGTAAAAACTGCATAATACATAAATATTGATGGTAATAAAAAAAGAAGAATAGTAAATGATAATGTAACAATAAATAATTGATCAATATCACAAAGATGTGAATCAAGTCGATTATTTCTTAATGGATTTTGTTTTTTGCCACAAAATAAACGAAAAAGAATAATCAATAAACGAATTTGCCAATTAAATAATCTAAATATATATCAAAACAAAATATTAAATAATAAAAGAATTAATTTAACTATAAAAAATTAAATTTAACCTTGCAGCATATATATAAAAACAATAAAGATGTATCGTTAATAAACGAATAAAATCACAGATTGCTCCAATAGCTAATGATATACCAAAAAAACATAGAATAAATAATATTTGATATAAATACGGTACTACAGTTATCACTAATGCTTCAAGATAACCAGACCATAGATAAATATGATAAAAATAAAATCTTGCTAAAAAATCAACTAATGGTTGATTTAATTTTAAACCAGCAGGTGCATGCATAAGCCATTCAATTATTGATTTAATCCATGTTGTTAAATTCTATTTTTAAAGATAAAACAAAAATTTAAATGAACAAATCTACTAGAAATTAACCTCAGTTTGTATTAATATTTCATTTGAAATTAATCGATATAAATTAAAATCTCGAAAAAGAATAAA